TGATTCAATTAATGAAGACAACGCATGCAAGATCAGACAGGATTGACAGGTTTTCAAGATGGCTGCTGTGGTTGGACAAGGATAGTCAACCTGCACGCGCGGCCCGGGCCTTGGATAGAAGAGGACAGACGATGGGAAATTAGGTCAACGGTTTGGTGACGTATTATTTTTATTCCTTTATTCTGTTCTTATTCTCATTTTATTTTGTTTTCCGTTAATTGCGTCGGTTTATTAAGTGATTTGTGTAAAAGTGCATCGATATTTTTTCAATATTTTTCGATATTCCTTCGTTATGTGTATTATTAATATTAATTTACTTTATTTTACTATCTGGTTGCATGTGTTTGACTGGCACGTTATTCCGCTGTATTATTTAATTATTTGTTTATTAACACATTCGATTAATCGATTCGATTATTCGATTATCCGGTGTTTCCGGTTTTGCATATTTATTCATCGTATTTTCTTATTTTCTTATCTTATTTTATTATTTTCATTATTTTCTATTGTCATTTTAACGCTTTTATCAATTTTCATTTTATTTTATGTTTCGCTTCATTATTTTATCGTTTATAGTGTTCTATATTTTATTTTACTTTTCCTTCGCTGTTTATACTTACATATTGATATTTAACACTATTTTGTGTTATTCTGTGTTATTTGTTTCATTTATTTATTTTATTTATTTATTATAGTACAGTGGGGTAGTGTGCCTTGATAATTTATGCAACTTGCGTTACATTCATTATTTGTCTTATTTATTTTATTACCGTAATTTTATTTTATCTCATTGTTGTCTTTTATTTATTTATTTATTCGCAACGGTATAATTGTGTGATTAATAAACCTGCGCAATTTACGTCCCTCTGCGTGATTTAATTGTTCAATTTATTTATCGTCTTATCGTATTTACCGTTCTATTTGGTTCTATATATATTAATATCGCTTTTTCATGTGTTAATGGTTTACGCGGTTTACATTGCTGTCTCGTCTTATTATTTCATTACCCATCGTATTCTATTTTATTTATTTTATTTACCATCTACATTCATATTTCATATCTCATGGTTCATGTTATTTAATATCTTTCGCGTCATTACGGGTATTGCATTTATTTATTTCCTTTATTTTGTGATTCAATACGTAGTCCGCTTGTCATCCGGTTGTTCGGCTTATTGTTTGGTTTATTTATTTTATTTTATTATATTTGTCATTTTCATCGATTCATATCCGTGGTGCAACGTGTTTAACGTGTTTATTGGTTACGTGGTTACGTGGTTTACTTTTCTTGTTCTTTCGATTTTGATATTCGATTATCTCATTCATAGTATTCATCGTATTTATTCCTTTATTTCTTTCTTATATCGTGGCTTACATATTTCATTTTGGACGATGCAGCAGTGACATGTGCTGAAATAAATTGAATTGATTAATAAATAAATAAATTGGACAATCCGGGTTGTGTTTTTAATTGTTCCTCTTGTTCCAGTTCCAGTTTTGTTTTGTTTTAGTTTATTTCAGGTTTAGTGTGTTTGTTTTAATGATGTGGTGCGATGAGGGATTGCTTTTGTGCTTTTGGTGTAAATAGTTTTGTGTAGTTTATTTGTTGCGTGGTGGGTGCTCATTTACTTTACTTTCCTTTCCTTTACTTACTTACTTATAATATTGTATTACATTCACGCTTTCTTGCTTTCATTCACGCCTTCTTTCACTCACGTTACCTTCCTTACCTTCTTTATTTTTCTAAATCTTGCATTTCCTTAATCTTCCCATTCATTCAGTCATTATTCATTAACTCATTCATTCATTCTGATCAATTAAAGTTAAATTAACGGATATGATATGATTTATTTTACTTTAGTTTTTATTTCTGTGATGATGAGTGGTTTTGTCCATTCAAATGCTTTGATGGTGCAGGGTTTGTTATAATCTTATCATTTAAGTATCCTTACTTACTTATTTACTTATTTATTTATTTATTGTTAGTCTATACACTGGTATGGTGTTTATCGAACTACGCAGTTTACATTTGATTTGATTTGATTTCTTGGTCACTTTAGTTACTTTATTTTGATACGTCATTCAATAACCAGCTCTATTTGCATTTGCATTGACATAATCATTTATCATTTACCATTTACCATTAATAATTTGGTTTATAATCTACTTTGGTGAGGAAATAGATTGTTGTGGCTAATAATCTTTACGGTTATATTTCATTGAATTCACTTCTTGTATTTTGTATTCTATTTTAGTATATTTCATTTTGTTTTACATTATATTACATTACATTACATGACATTATTTACATTATGTTGGTTACAGCCTTCACTTTATATTTTGTGCCTTATTATTTATCTGGTTATTTACCTCATTCTTCTTTATTATCTTTAATTGATTATTTCACTGTCCAGTCAGTCATTCTTTTATTCTCTCATTGTTTATGCGTTCTGACACATTCCTGCTTTTTGCTCTCACTCACGCCTTCTTACCTTCTTTATTTTCTTTATTTTCATTATCTTCTTTATTCACCTTCTTTATTTTCCTTAATCTTTAATTTCCTTAATCGTTCCATTCATTCATTCATTATTCATTATTCATTATTCTTTCACTCATTCATTCTGATCAATTAAAGTTAATGGATATGATTTATTTTACCTTATTTTACTTTATTTTAATTAAGTTTTGCTCTCTCTACAATGATAGGTGGTTTTGTCCATCCAAATGCTTTGATTGTGCGTGAATTTTATTATAATCTTATCATTCAAGTACTCTTATTTATTATATACTTATTTATTTATTCTATTTTTATTTTATTTTATTTCACTTTATTCTTATTTCAGTTTATACACTGGTATAGTGTGTATTGAACTACGTACTTTACATTTCATTTCATTGTTGCTTTAGCTATTTTATTTTGATACATCATCCAATAATCAGTTCTATTTGCACTTTGCATTGACATAATCATTTACCATTTATAATTTAGTTTATAACCTACTTTGGTGAGGAAACAGAGTGTCGTAGCTAATAATCTTTACGGTTATATTTCATTGAGTTCACTTCTGGTACTTTGTATTCTATTTTAGTATATTTCATTTTGTTTTACATTATATTACATTACATTATTTACATTATGTTGATTACAGCCTTCATTTTATATTTTATGCCTTATTATCTATCTTGTTAGTTACCCCATTTTTCTTTATTATCTTTAATTGATTATTTCACTGTTCAGTCATTCATTCATTCTCTCATTGTTTATTCGTTCTGACATAGTACTGCTTTTTGCTCTCACTCACGCCTTCTACCTTCTTTATTTTCCTTAATCTTTAATTTCCTTAATCGTTCCATTCATTCATTTATTATTTATTCATTATTCATTATTCATTCACTCATTCATTCTGATCAATTAAAGTTAATGGATATGATTTATATTACTTTATTTTACTTTATTTTAATTAAGTTTTGCTCTCTCTACAATGATAAGTGGTTTTGTCCATCCAAATGTTTTGATTGTGCGTGAATTCTATTATAATCTTATCATCCAAGTACTCTTATTTATTATTTACTTATTTATTTATTCTATTTTTATTTTATTTTATTTCACTTTATTCTTATTTCAGTTTATACACTGTTATAGTGTTATTGAACTACGTACTTTACATTTGATTTCATTGTTGCTTTAGCTACTTTATTTTGATACGTCATCCAATAATCAGTTCTATTTGCATTTGCATTGACATAATCATTTACCATTTATAATTTAGTTTATAACCTACTTTGGTGAGGAAAAGGAAATGGATTGTTGTAGCTAATTATCTGTACGGTTATATTTCATTGAGTTCACTTCTTGTGTTTTGTATTCTATTTAGTATATTTCATTTTGTTTTACATTACATTACATTACATTACATTACATTACATTAGTTACATTATGTTGGTTACAGCCTTCACTTTATATTTTATGCCTTATTATTTATCTTGCTATTTACCTCATTCTTCTTTATTATCTTTAATTGATTATTTCACTGTTCAGTCATTCATTCTTTCATTCTCTCATTGTTTATTCGTTCTGACACATCCATGCTTTTTGCTCTCACTCACGCCTTCTTACCTTCTTTATTTCCTAAATCGTTCCATTCACTCATTCATTATTCATTCACTCACTCATTCTGATCAATTGAGGTTAATGGATATGATTTATTTTACCTTATTTTACTTATTTTAATTAAGTTTTGCTATCTCTACTATGATAAGTGGTTTTGTCCATCCAAATGCTTTGATTGTGCGTGAATTTTATTATAATCTTATCATTCATGTACTCTTATTTATTATTTACTTATTTATTTATTCTATTTTATTTCATTTTATTCTTATTTCAGTTCATACACTGGTACAGTGTTTATTGAACTACGTACTTTATATTTCATTTCATCTATTTGTTACTTTAGCTACTCTATTTTGATATGTCATTCATTAATTAGTTCTATTTGCAGTTGTATTGACATGACCATTTATCATCTACCATTTACCAGTTACAGTCTAACTTATAATCTACTCTGGTAAAGAAATAGAGTATTGTAGTTAATAATCTTTACGGTTATATCTATTGAATTCACTTCTTGTATTTTGTATTTTGTATTCAGTTTATTATTGCATTCTGTTTTGCATTATATTGCATTACTTATATTACAGTGCATTACATTACATTATTTACATTAGGTTGGTTACGGCCTTCACTTTTACTTTATGCTTATTATTTATTATTTACCTCATTATTTACCTCATTCTTCTTAATATCTTTAACTGATTATTTCATTGTTCAGTCGTTCATTTCATGCTGTCATTGTTCATTCATTCTGAATTAAATTGAATCAAGGTAACTGTTAAGATTTAGTTTATTTTGACTCACGATGGTACAAAGTTCTGTAAATGGCATTAATATTAATATAATTATGGTTTGTTTGCATACAATTATTCTATATATATTTTCTATATTTTAATTTATTTGTGCCACGTATCACTGTCTACCATCATTTATTTTATTTTATTTCTTGTCACCTCTATCCTTGGACATTCCTTGGACATTTTGACATTTTGATATTCTTCTCTGGTATTCTTTAATTCAATTTATTCAAGCCGTTTCTCTTCGATAATAGTATAGCTCTTTGATGACGGTGTGCTGTTCCTGTAGGAATTAATATTCATGTCATTAACTTGTGCTACTCTTGTTTAAATTTATTATGCGTTATTATAATCATTACCTTGTTTGTTTCTTTTCTCTTCTTTTCTTTTATATTTCCTTTCTGCTAGTTACCTGCTGCCTTGGTTGCTTTGATTCTACTTTGGTTACATTTATTTATTAACTGACTGGGTGTTACATGATTGGTCCTACGTGACTTTCCTGACTATATGCGTTATCTGACGTTGTGAGATGGCTATATTTGATTTCGATTCTGTTTAGGTTGAATGTTTCATTCGTTTATTTATTCAGCCTTTCGTTCTGTGGTGGTTTCTTTGTTTCGTTGTTCTGCGTAGTTTGTTTCCTGCGGCGCGATAGGCAGTAACATGATGCGTCCTGCAATCTGCGGATCTTATTCGGGTTGATTTCATTTCTTTCATTTCATTCTATCTTCATCATTGTTTATACTTAACATTTACTTCATCCTACACTATTGCAAACGTATGATTTATATATTTATAAATAATAAATGATAGCCGTGGTATTGTTTTATTAATTGATTTATTCTTGATTTTAATCCGTCTGGGGTTCTATTTGTTGCCCGTTTGCTTTTATAATTACCTTTCCCGTGAGTCGTGGTAATGTTTTATTAATTGATTTATTCATGATTTTAATCCGTCTGGGGTCTTATTTGTCCGTTTATAATTACCTTTCCGTGAATAGTATTGGATATCGGACTTATCTTTTATGGTAAGTCTGATGGTAAGTATGGCTTCCTAGGATGGCGCGGTTGCGCGACGGATAGTTTAGCTGTCGGTAACTGAGATGTAGCAGATATCTGGCGCGCGGTGGGTAACTGCTGCGCGGCGGATAGTTGGTCGGTGGATAACCGTTACGGGATGAACGGCCGAGTATTGTATGGTAAATAAGTAGAATGCTTGTGGCCGATAATATTTGGCTGCCGGTGCTGCGGATGGTTACCAACTAAGGATAATTTGTAATTATTATCAACGGATAGTGTTGCGTACTTTACTTTATTTAGTGAGATACCGGAATGTTTTCCGCTATCGTTACCTTCCGTTGCATTCTATTCGTGTTTGGTTTCGTTCACTGTAATTTATTGAAAGTGTTTTACTGATGTATTTAGTCGCGGGCGCTTGTACGTTCCGTGTAATAATCAATTAATTAATTTGATAACTAATTTAATAGACAACAGACATAATGGGACGAACTGTAAATTTTACGAAATTCCTCGAAGGTTACGCATCTATATGGCGTATGGTTTATGGCTTAAGCTTCACGCGGTTTCTTATCTTTGGTTGACATGATCATCGGCGGCACTGGTTTACTCCATCTCCATGTGCCATATACTCGGTTGTGACATGGAGGAGGATCGTGAATTAATTGAATCGTTAAATTGCTGAGTTCTGATTAGGCCATTAATATTGAATATTGAATATCGGTGCGTGTGTGTTTGTGATTTGTGCGTGTACCCATTGCAATGAGTGGTGACATGTGCTATTGTGCTCCGTTTTCTGATATATTATATATATGTATTTATTTATATTTATTTATATATTTGTATATTTATATTTACATATTCATTATTCTTATACTTATACATATTTTTATACTCATACTTATACCCAATTTGCATATTGCATATTATTTACAATAAATTCAGTTAGTATTGTGTAATGTTGTGTAATATTTTGCATCATTATCTTTCTACTGCTAATTAATGAATAAAGTTAATTGACAGTTATATCTGAAACACTTGGTTGCCTTGTCGAGTGCTGAGTGTATTCATTTTGTCTTACCGTACCTTCTTCTTAATATTATGCCTGTTTAGGATAATATAATCTGCCTCATTGCATATTCAACGTAATGGATTTTGTAAATTTGCCTGACTTAGCCTTATTGGATGACTACGTCTGTGTGAGATGTGTGAATGAGTGTATGGATTTGCTTGTTGGTAGAATGTACTCCAATGTATCTTGTTCTAATCTTTTATTTTGTGTCCGTCACGTCCGTCTATATACTATACTTTACACTTTCTTTACTTTCCTTACTCTCTCTATTTGCCTCTACTTGCCTTAACTTGATTAACTTCTGTAATAGCTCTATTGCTCACTCACTCATTCATTCATTCGCTTATTATCTACAAGTATTTATTTAGAGTTATTTGGATTTAAGTACGGTTAATTTTCTTGAGAGGATAGACGATTTTGTCCATTCAAAAGCTTGTCAGCGCGTGGCTTCTGTTATAATCACACCATTCAAATTTCATTTCAAATACCCTACTTCTTTGGTTATTTACTTATTTATCTGTTATTCCTTATTTTATTCTTTTACTATGTAATGGTGTGGTGTCTGATTGAACCACGCACGTTATATTTGATTTGTCATTATATTTATTATTTACTATCTTTATACATCAGTCGGTTATGAATTTTTACCTTCTATTTGCATTTGCATGGACATAATCACTTACAATTTATAATCTATAATTTATAAAGTAGTGGGGATGGAGTCAATAATGTTTACGGTCATATTTAATTAGAATATAACTCACTTGTTGTATTTATCTTATTTTCTTTTACATTATTTTGCATTATACTACATTATATCAGCTATGTCTGTTAAGCGTTACACATTTTCATTTGCTGTAGTTCCTCAGTTTGTGAATATCTTCAGCTTTTCCTCTCGCATTCAGTATTCATTTATTCATTTATTATTCATTATTCATTTTGATGTTTTGATGTTGCCTGATTATAGTTATACATTGATTTGATCTGATTTTGATTTATTTTCTGACTCATATTTCCTTTCTGCCAGTTGCTTGTTGCCTTGCTGCCTTGACTTTATTCTGGTTTTATTTATTCTGTTAACTAATATCATTTGACTGGGTGTTGTCTGAATGGCTCCATGGGTTTTCCTGACTATATGCTTTTCATATTGATTTTGCTTTGGTTTAGGGTCTTATTTTATTATTTATTCGGCCTCTCATTCCTTGGCGGTTGTTTTCCTTTATCTTCATTGCCTTTTGTATAATTTGTTTCTTTGCGACGTTATCATGCAGTAACGCAGTGCGTCCTGCAATCTGCGCAATCTGCGGGACTTATTCGGGCTGATTTTATGATTTATTATTTTTATTATTTTTCTAATTATTTTATTGACTTCCATCGTGTCAGGCTACTTTATGCGTTTTAACTATAATTATATTCTATCTTATTATTTTATCACAAACTTATTTGATGTTTTATATAGGTAATGTATTTATAACCATAATATTGACTTATTTCTTTATATAATAATTAATTAATGCCTGATGTTGGCCCGTTTGAAGTTTATCTCTGATCCCATTGATTTAGCATAATTATCTTTTCGATTATAGTATTGTATACCAGACTTATCTTTGATGGTAAGTCTGATGGTAAGTACGGTTTCCCAGGATTGCGCGGCAGCACGATGGACGGTTCTGCAGTCGGTAACTGTGTAATTGGTAATTGGCGCGTGGTAGGTAACTACTGCGCGGTAGATAATTTGCCTGTGGATAGCCGTTGCGGAGTGAGTGGCCGAGTATTACTGTCTGGTAAACGGAATATTTGTTGCTGGTAATATCCTTGGTACTGCGGTTGATTACCAACTAGGCATAGCTTGCGGCTTATGGTCATCGTTTGTAGGTACATTATCTTTGGTTTTGGTCATGTTGATTCATTTTGATTTGTTTAAACTGTTTTGTTTATGCAATTTCGCTTTTCGCTTATGAGCACTTATATACACTCTATTATAATTACTTAATTACTTAATTTGATGGTTTGATGGATAATTGACGGTTGATAACCATTATGGAGTGAACTAGGGAATTTTAATTTTATGAACACTAGGTTCTATCTCTATATGTTTTTTGTTTTATGTTTTATGCTTTATGGTCTCGTTTTCGCTCTTTTACTCGGCCCGGTTTTCAGTCTTAGGTAACATAGTTTTCGGTGACGTGTGTTTACTCTTCTATTCTCCGGGCATTGTGCAAATTTGTGCATTATGTACTCGTCCGTGATCTGTGATGTGGAGTGTTAACTAAATTAATTATTTAATTCTTCTATTTAAGTATAAATCAAAATTTAATTGGTGCGAAGGTGATTGTGGTGAAATGCGCGCTCCACCGCGATGCATTGTGTTCCATTGCAGTGTATGTGTTTCAAAGTGGTGCTATTTACTCCGTTTTGAGTAAATTATAATATATTATATTATATTATTCATTTTATATTATGGTCATATTTGTATTCATGTTTATTACATTCAATTACCTTCTATCTCCGTTTAATTCAATCTATGTATTGAATAAAGTATTGAATATGTATATTACTATATTATTATATCAGATTTTGGATTATATTCAGTTATTTTAGTTATTTCAGTTACATTAGGTTATACTTAGTCAGTATTTTGTGCTACACTGTAAACTGTATTGCATTGTATTATATAACTCCCTATCTTCTATTCCATTATATTATTATAGTTGAGTGAATAAACGAATGGGGTAATCAGCGGTGGATATGGTATATTGAATAAATTAGGTTAAATTAATTAAACGACTTGACAAGTGCTTGTTTTATTTCACCGTACCTGCCGTATTTACATATTTACATTATTATGTGATGACATGTGTCTATATGCCTTAGTGTAGTTTAATTGGCCTTATTGCATGCTGAACATAATGGATTCAATGGAATTCACTAGAATCTATTAGAATTTGTTGGTTTATATGGATTTGTTGTTTGAATGCATATATTATGTGAATGCATATATTATGTACGTTTCATTGTGCTGCGTTACCTTCATATATATTTTAAGGACAGTTTGATCCTGCGTTTCCTGTTGCATTGTGTTATGAGATGACTTAGGTGTCACTACTATGCTGTGTCTTGGTTATATTAATATATATTAATCCATATACAAATTATACATTATAAATTTAAATTTACATTTACTTAGTCCGGCTTTGACAATATTGCACTTTCCTACCCATTTTGATATGGTTCAGCTGTCAATAAGTAAGTGAGCGCAGCAATTTTCTTTATACTTTGACAGGAATTGTTGTTCCTCAAGGCGCCCTAATGGAATACTTTGTTTTCCTTCCTTTTAATTGATTACCGGTCTACTTCATTGCTTACTTACTTGGTTGTTACTCAATGTAGCAGAGCTCAACGCAGTGTTGGGTGGTTAATTTGGTTTGGGTGTTGATTATATGCTAATATTTACTATTGTACTTCCCTAACTAACTTTCTTTTCTACTCTTTTCTATTCTCTCTGCTACAGCTGCTTGTTTTTTGTTTTACCGCTCTCTTGCCAATGGCAATTTACTTCTACATTATCTTACTCGTGCGATATGATTAGAGTCTGAGCTTGTTTCTTACACTTTCGTTCTTCACCTGGCTAGGCAGTGGCTACTCTATGTGCCTACTGTCTTCATGGGCATCCTGCATGCCTCCTTTCACCTGCTTGGGTTGTTTGAACGTTCAATGCTATGCTTTCTGGGAGCGGTGTGTGTGTGGCTGGAGTATGTATGGGACAAGTCATCGAGGGTTGCAGCGTACCAAGATATGGCGCGGTCAGCCGGGTAAAGGACTTCCCGGTTCCTGATCGTGGCCGAAGAAAAAGCTTCCTGACCTCGCTTATGGCAGGCAGGTGAAGACACGGCCCGATCACCCGTTGAGCAGGAGCTCCGGTGCCGATCGTGGTTGAAGAAAAATGGCCTGTCCTCGTGGTAGGACAGGTGGGCGTGATGACTGCTAGGAAAAGCCACATCTTCATTATCAACCTACCATGGTGGACGAAGATTGGGGCGATCAACCGGGAGATACGAAGTCCCGGGTCCTGATCGTGACCGAAGAAAAAGTCCTGTCCTGGCAAGTGCCAGGCAGGCTGAACACACGGCCCGATCACCCGATGAGTGGGAAAGTCCTCCGGTGCCGATCGTGGTTGAAGAAAAATGGCCTGTCCTCGTGGAAGGACAGGTGGGCGTGATGACTGCAAGGAAAAGCCACATCTTCATTATCAACCTACCATGGTGGACGAAGATTGGGGCGATCAACCGGGAGATACGAAGTCCCGGGTCCTGATCGTGACCGAAGAGAAAGTTCCTGGCCTTGCTAATGGCAGGCAGGTGAAGTAGGGGCGCGATCACCCGTTGAGTGGGAATCCTCCGGTTCCTGATCGTGGCCGAAGAAAAATCCTGTGCTTTCTTGTACAGGTTGAAACATCCTACCGCTAGATCGGAGGTGTGACGGCGTGGATCCTCAACCCCCCGTGGTTGCCTAGCGCACGGCGGATTGAGGTGAGACGAAAGCACAAATGTAAGCTAGGGAGCAGAAGCGCCGTTGCGGCTATCGTCGGTACATCTGGGATATCCCCAAAGGATGAAAGGGTACCGACGGCCTACGTTAGGGAAGAGGTTTTTAGTGGGTAGTATATCAGGCCGCGGACGCCCCTTCTGGGCGCCGCTGGGTCGCCCCTTCTGGGCTGTGACCCTTTTCCTTTGTGCTCGCCCTTCAGGGTTGGGCTGTCAGGTTGCCCCTTCTGGGTTGCCTCTTTGGGTTTGCCCCCACCAAATGGGCGCCAGGCCCCCCTTCAGGGGATATGAGTCCCACACTGCCCGGGCCCCCTCTAGCCGAATAGACGAACAGGGGATAACCTGCGAGCGGTGAACCGACACTGTGATACACAGATTCAACTACGAGCTTTTTAACCGCAACAACTTTAATATACGCTATTGGAGCTGGAATTACCGCGGCTGCTGGCACCAGACTTGCCCTCCAATGGATCCTCGTTAAAGGATTTAAAGTGTACTCATTCCGATTACGGGGCCTCGGATGAGTCCCGTATCGTTATTTTTCGTCACTACCTCCCCGTGCCGGGAGTGGGTAATTTGCGCGCCTGCTGCCTTCCTTGGATGTGGTAGCCGTTTCTCAGGCTCCCTCTCCGGAATCGAACCCTGATTCCCCGTTACCCGTTACAACCATGGTAGGCGTAGAACCTACCATCGACAGTTGATAAGGCAGACATTTGAAAGATCCGTCGTCGGTGCTAGATGACCATACGATCAGCACAACGTTATTCAGAGTCACCAAAGCCGACGATGGACGAACGGACAAGCCGTCCGCCACCGATTGGTTTTGATCTAATAAAAGCATTCCTCCCATCTCTGGGTGGAATTCTGGTTTGCATGTATTAGCTCTAGAATTACCACAGTTATCCAAGTAATGTTTTGTACGATCTAAGAAACCAAAACTGATTTAATGAGCCATTCGCGGTTTCACCTTAATTCGGTATGTACTTAGACATGCATGGCTTAATCTTTGAGACAAGCATATGACTACTGGCAGGATCAACCAGGGAGCTTAGTTATTATTGTAAATTTAAATTTTCGTCGTCGGCTCCTCCCTGTAAGACCGATCGACGTTAAGCCATTTCTCTTTTGTATGTAACACACATTTCATAAATTTTGTACCTCTTATAGAGGCCAAATATTCTCCTCCTCCTCTCATAAAGCACGAAAATCACTTTCACGCCGTGCATCCATCGTGCAAGCACGTAGACCACACACGCTGGACAATATAATAAAAGATAGCGCGGACAGTGGCATGCTATACAAATCGAGAAAGCGCGTACAGTGATCATGCTGGTCATTTTGCCACCAAATTTTATAATCTTTATCATTAGAGCGGGCCCACCAACCTCGTCTCTGTACTTTATACATTTCTCCTCCATCTGCACACACCTTTTCAAACATTAACGGAGAGAGTTCCTTGGACTTGCTTTAAATGTACATATTAGATATGTTGGAATCTCTCTCCTTTAGAAGTTTCCCCAGCCTTAAAACTTCTTTCATTTTTACTCCTCTCTCCATACTTATTTTCCTCTCTGAACGTATCAGAGAGGATTTTATTTCTGACACCTCTTGACTTTTCTTAAATTCAGGGACGTAATTTTGTTCATAATTCAGTGGACTTTTGTGTATTTTATACTTTAAATATTTCCAAACAGTCTCCCTTCTAAAAGTGATAGAACGAATTTTCGTCTAACACTACTTTCTTGGTTCAAAAATTTTATACAATCTTATAACTTTTTCAGTTTTAACCAATTTTGGTTACAGACAGTTGATGCTCAGTTTGTACAAGTATGCAACATTTATAAGTGCATACAGGTCACCAGCCTTATATTACAAGGCTCACCACATATGGGCCATTCGGTCTTAGACACCGACCCGTGGTAATGCTGTGTGGAGATTAATAATAATC